ACATAAAAACATCAAAAACCCAATGGTTTTTTAAGAAAAATTGTCAAAATGTCCTTCCGCGCGCGCTGTCCGAATCCCACAAAACCAATGGTTTTTCAACATTTATGTTACATGAGCTCGCGCGAGCTACTTTTTCTTGTTCTAACATAATCAAATTTCAATAATCCCTTGCAAAAAATAAGGTAAAGTGGACATTCGCGCGCGCAAGACGAAATCCTTCCAGAACCTTAGGTTTCGTAACGATTTCAACATAAAAACATCAAAAACCCAATGGTTTTTCAAAAAAAAATGTCCAAATTTCATCCCGCGCGCGCTGTCCGACTCCCACAAAACCAATGGTTTTTCAACATTTATGTTACATGAGCTCGCGCGAGCTACTTTTTCTTGTTCTAACATAATCAAATTTCAATACTCCCTTGCAAAAAAAAGTAAAGTGGACATTCGCGCGCGCAAGACCAACAAAAAACACGACGATCTCAGGAACTTGCCCCAAAAATGTGACCAACTCCGCTCTCTCTGTCTCTCTCTCTGTCTGCTCTCTGTCTCTCTCTCTGTCTGTCTGTGTCATGTATTGTATGTCACAAGTGCAGGATGCTGGGCACACGCGCGCCCCGAATAAGTGACCAAGTTCTGTGGGTGTGTACCCCACGCCAGTGTAGTAGCCACGGTCGTCCGCACGCCACGAAGTGAAGTGTCCCAACGTCATAGGGCGGGAAGCTGGGTTTGGGTGGTCGCGAAGAGTCGTTTGGATATTTGGTAGAGCTTGAACTGCCCCCCCACGAAGTGGGGGTATTGTCTCGCGTCGCATGAAAACCCTGGCACTGGTGAGAACACTGAGCGTTCGGGTAAAATGATTGTTGTTGTTGTTGTTGTTGTTGTTGTTGTTGTTGTTGTTGTTGTTGAATGTGAATTACTTAACAATGATTGTTGGACCCCCTAAAGACGCTTTGGCGCTCTCGCCGAGGCGCCGGCTACATTTCCATTGACGATGAGGCTCACGCTCGAGCGGTTTGGGGGACCGCCAAAACCGGCCCCTAAACAACAACAACGCTTCCGCTCAAGACTTCTTCCTTTTTTACTCAGGGCTGGTGTTCTTGCTCGCCGCCGAAAGCCGCCGCCCTAACAACACCAGCGCTCCCGCTCAAGACTTCCTCCCGTTTTACCTTGGACTGGCGCGCTAGTGATTCTCTCATCGGCGCCGCCCCCAGGCAAAACAACGCTCCCGCTCGAGGCTTCCTCCCTTTTTCACTCAAGGCGGTGCCCCTCCTCGCCGCCCGGACAAAACCAGCGCTCCCGCCCGAGACTTCCTTCCTTTTTACGCTGGACTGGCGCTCAAATCTCTTTTGAATTGGCGCCGCTCCCACCAAGAACAACGCTCCCGCTCGAGGCTTCCTCCCTTTTTCCTGGAGACGGTGCTGTTCCTCGCCGCCGACAACCCCGTCCCGACAAAACCACGGCTCCGGCTCGAATTTTCCTCCCTTCTTACTCAAGGCGGTGTTCCTCCTCGCCGCCGAAAACCGCCGCCCCGACAAAACCAGCGCTCCCGCCCGAGACTTCCTTCTGTTTTACGTTGGACTGGCGCTCAAATCTCTTTTGAATTGGCGCTGGTCCCACAAGAACAACGCTCCCGTTCGAGATTTCCTTTTTTTTGTTTTTCCTCGGGCCGGTGCTGTTCTTCGCCGCCGACAGCCCCCCGCTCGATGCTCCTCCTTTCTTGCTCAAGGCGGTGTTCATCCTCGCCGCCGAAAGCCGCCGTCCCAACAAAACCAGCGTTCCCGCTCGAGACTTCGTTTTTTTTACGCTGGACTAGCGCCCTACTCTCTTCAGCATTGGCGTCGCTCCCAGCAACAACAGCAGCCCTGCTCGAGACCTCCTCCCTTTCTATTCAGGGCCAGGTCCTCGCCTCACCGCCCACAGCCCCCATCCCCACCAAGGCAATCCTGTCGTTCGATACTTCCTTGTGCTTTACCCTTCGCTGGGGTTCCACTGGCGGTCTCGCATCGGCGCAGCAAGGCGCGGGCATGTGTATTGAGGCGGGATATGTTGAATTTTTTCGGAGGAGGTGTTTGCAAGACCTCATTGGGCGGGAGATCTGGGAATGGGAATAACGGACCCCGCTTTTAGAACAAGAGTCCCCCATGATGTGGATGGATATCTTGATCGTCGCATACTTCGTGTGGAAACATCGCGCATGAGGGTAAAATTATTGTTGTTGTTGTTCTTGGTGAATGGCCATTACTGAAAATGATTATTGGTGATCCCCCCTCCAGTGATTGCTATATTGTTCAATTGAAGTGCTTCCTCCGGGGCTTGCACCCTCTTTTTTGAATCATGGAAAATCGCGGGGCTTAAACTGTGTCGTTGGCCCCGGTTTACAACAACAACAACGGCTCTTGCCTGATATTTCATCACAATTTATTATCAAATCGCGCTCTCGCGCGGGACTTCCTCACACTTCGTATACGAATCGCGCTCTCGCGTGGGACCTCTTCGCAGATTATGATTCAGACGAGGCGCCTTTGGCGCTCAGGAAGCACGCTCTCGCTTTGGCTTTTGTCGCGATTTACTCGGGAATCGCGCTATCGCTCGCGACTTCTTCGCGATTCATGCAGGACCCACGCTTCAGCAACCCGCCTGCTCGACCTGGTCGCTTAGGCCTGCCTTCCCGACTGGCCCGCTATGGGTCTGCCCACCCGATCTGCCCGTCTGGTTCTACCACTTGTTTTCTGCTCCTCATCCTCTTCCTGCTAATTTCTCTCGTGCTCCATTCTTCTCCCTCTCCCTTCCACCCGTCTTATCTTCCCTTCTTTTAGGGGCTGCACTAAATGCGCGAGGCAGGTAAGGAAGATATACTCCCAAGGGGGTACGATCGAAGACGACGAGGGCGGGTACCGTCGGTTTTGGGATATGCGTATTGATTGGTACGTGAGCAGATAGGAGCGGACAGTCTTAGCATGATTGTTGTTGTTGTTGTTGTTGTTGTTGTTGTTGTTGTTGTTGTTGTTGTTGTTGTCGAATTCTCATTTCTGAAGAATAATTATTGTTGATCCCCCCACAGGTACATACTGTCTTTCTCAATCAAAGTGTGCCCCTCGACGCTCGCACCATGTTTTTTTGACAGGGAAAGTCTTCCTGCTCAAACTGGGCCCCTGGCCCCCGGGTTACAACAATAACGGCTCCCGCCTGAGACTTCCTTACAATTTAAGCAGGACCCCCGCTCCCGCCCGAGACTTCCTCGCATTTTATTCAGGAATCGCGCTCTCGCTTGGGACTTCCTTACAATTTATTCAGGGATCGCTCTCCCGGAGCTCTGGAGTCGCGCTCTCGCTGGAGACTTGCTTGCAACATACTGAAGAATAGCCTTTGCGTTGGAATTTCCTGCAATTTGCCCAAGCGCCGCGCTCCCGACATCCAGGCACCCAGGAGTCGCGCCCGTTGTGGCCCCATGTGCATGCCCTTCGTGGCCCCGCTGTCGCCGTTTGTGGCCCCCTCATTGTCCTACGTGGCCCAGTTGCTACCCTCAGTGGCCCCATAGTTGCCTTATGTGGCCCGTGCCCTTCGTGGCCCTGCTGTCGTTCTCTCTCGCTCTTGCTTTCGCTCGTCGTGGCCGTCGTCGCCGTCGTCTTCGACGTCGTCGTCGTCGTCGTCGTCGTCGTCGTCGTCGTGGTCGGTCCCCTGTCCGTCCCTCTTGGGGTCGGGTCGACGGTCCGCGGCCGCCCCGCCGATCAGCGCTGCCGCTGGCCAGGCCGACGGTCCGCGGCCGCCCCGCAGCTTGCCGGGGCCCGGCCTGCAGGGAAGAGAGGTATACCCCCCAAAAGGAGTTCGATCGAAGACGAAGAGGGCGGGTATCGAAGGTTTGGGAAATACGCGTTATTGGACACTCGAGCATATAAGGGCGAACAGTCTTAAACTGATTGTTGTTGTTTTTGTTTTTGTTTTTGTTTTTGTTTTTGTTGTTGTTGTTGTTATAGTTCTTGTCGTTGTCGTTGTCGTTGTCGTTGTCGTTGTCATTGTCGTTGTTGTTGTGGTTGTTGTTGTTGTTGTTGTTATTATTGGTGTTGTCGTTGTCGTTGTCGTTGTTGCTGTTATTGTTGTCGTTTTTGCTGCTGCTGCTGCTGTTGTTGTTGTTGTTGTTGTTGTAGCTGTTGTTGTTGCTGCTGCTGCTGCTGCTTGTGTTGTTGTTGTTGTTGTTGTTGTTATAGTTGTTGTCGTTGTCGTTGTTGTTGTTGTTGTTGTTATTGGTGTTGTCGTTGTCGCTGTCGCTGTCGTTGTTGCTGTTATTGTTGTCGTTTTTGCTGCTGCTGCTGTTGTTGTTGTCGTCGTTGTTGTTGTTGATGCTGCTGTTGTTGTTGTTGTTGTTGTTGTTTTTGCTGTAAGTAAATGTTGTTGCTGTTGTTGTTGTTGTTGTGGTTGTTGTTGTTGTTGTTGTTGTTGTGCTTGTTGTGCTTGTTGTTGTTGTTGTTGTTGTTGTTGTTGCTGTCCTTGTTGTTGTGGTTGTTGCTGTTTTGCTTTTTCCAGAGAGAGAGAGAGAGAGAGAATGTGTGTGTGTGTGTCTTTTTGGTGTGCTCTGAAGTCCCGCTGGACGGCCCCCGCTCCTGGCGCTTGGCTTGGGTAAGACGCCTTCGCCTGGCTGTCTCTTTCTCCAGCGGCAAGCTCACCACACTGGCCATGGACTCGTTCCACGCCGTCTCCAGTGCCTGAGGCCGCCAGCGCATCCCTCGCTCGCCGATGCTCGGCGGTTGGGCTCTCTCCCTCTCCCCCTCCGCGGCCGCCCTCGCCTTCTCCTGCTGCCCCTGTGCCCCGCGTCAGGTGCGCCCCGTTTGTACAGACCCCGACGCCCGCGTCCGCTGGCGCTGCCGACTAAAAGAGTTTTTTCCGTCCGCCCCGAAGCTGGGGAAGCCCGGAGGGTCTGCGCATCGAGCTCCTTGGCCAACCAGGCGACTTGGTGTATACTTGCAGCCCCTCCCAAGGCTGCCCGGCCCTCCCCCAATGCTGGGCAGGTGCTCACAGGGAAGATGCAGAAGTTCTACCAGGACGTCGACCGAGCGGCGCTGTGGGGAGGGGAAGCCACGCCATGAACAGGAGTCCTGAGGGGGAGTGGTCCCGATGTTTCCGTAGTTTTCGGCCCCCCGGAGCGGGACCTTTTCCCGGGCCACGGGGCCGTCAAACGACGACTCGGGACGACGAGCTTGTCCTGGGGGAGGACCTGCGGTTTCCAGGGCCCTTCTCTCTCAAAGCACATTTGTGTAGCGTCCTTGAATCAATCATGGACGCTTCGCGTCCCCACACCAGCCCATCCAGAGCCGATTCCTGGGCGAGTTCTTGGAAGTAAGGACATGCAACGGTATAGCATAGTATTTTTTTTGGGGTGGGGCGTGCGCTCGTCGAATCAACGCCAGGGTCAGCCCGAGTTGCCCTCAATACGAGCAAGGTGGGAGCCAATGTGGGCGTCCTGTCCGCCACTGAAGATCTACACTGACACCCTTCAATGGATTGTTCCTGGGCCTCAGGGGGTGGTGGCGGTATACATCATCACTGAGAGCCGGCAACTTTAGACACCGCCACCCGAATTGACGGTACGATAGACTTTACATGCAAAGTTCGTCGGAGGGTGTCTATGCATGTCTGTCTGTCTGTCTGTCTGTTTGTCTGTTTGTCTGTCTGTCTGTCTGTCTGTCTGTCTGTCTGTCTGTCTGTCTGCCTGCCGCCTGTCTGTCTGTCTGTCTGTGTGTCTGTCTGTCTGTATGTATGTATGTATGCATGCATGCATGCATGGATGTATGTATGTATGCGTGCATTCATGCATGATGTATGTTTGTAAGTAAGTATGTATGTATGTATGTTTGCATGCACGCACGCACGCACGCACGCACGCATGCATTTATGTATGTATGTATGTATGTATGTATGTATGTATGTATGTATGTATGTATGTATGTATGTATGTATGTATGTATGTATGCATGCATGCATGCATGCATGCATGCATGCATGCATGCATGTATATATTTATATAGATATTCGTGGCGTATGATGAGGACCTCCTGGAGCCCCCCCCCGGGGCTCTCTTCGGGCCGTGCCGGAGGGCTCTCTGCAGAGGGCCCCTTCGAGGCCTTCCGGGCCTCGTGCTGGGCCGTCCCAGAGGCCACCCGCTGGACGAGCAGCCTCCATCAGTCTCGGGGGTGGACAGACCTCCTACCCTGACACGTCGATTAGCGAATTGGCCGTTTTCGGTTCGCGATAGGGCGTCGCGGCCGTCATTTTTGCTGGTCCAGGTCCGTCGGTTTCGGTCCCAGGCCGTTTTCACTAAGGGGAGGTCTATTAGAGGTAGGTTTGTCCACCGCCGAAAGTCAGCCTTGCCCCTTCGGGCCACGAGCTGAGTTCACTGCTGTGGATGTGCCTCCGAGAGTCCGAGAGCCCCTGGGACTCCTCGAGGCCGTTGGGAGCTCCGCAGAACCCCGAGTGACGACTGCCTGAACCTTTCAACTTGGGGTGGTTGAAAAACAAGAAATCAGCCTTGCCCCTTCGGGCTGCTCTTGCAGGCCTGGGGATCCGTGTCTCGGAGATCTTGCGGGCGCCCCTCCGGGCCCGGCTTTCGTGGGTCGTGGTGCGGCTGTCTGGAGGCCTCAGCCCACCGCCGACGAGGCGAGAAGGCAAGCCTAGCTGGCACACCCTGAGATTCCGCTGCCCTCGGCCTCTCGGGGCATGCTTCGGAGGCTCCGTGGCCGCCTTGAGCCATCGGCACGGACGCGGTTCGCCAGGGGCTCGGTTCGCCGGGGCTCGATTCGCCGGTGCTCGGTTCGCTGGAGCTCGGTTCGCCAGGGCTCGGTTCGCCCGGGCTGGCGTCGCGGGGGCTCGGTTCGCCCGGCTCGATTCGCCCAGCTCGATTCGCCGGGGCTCGGTTCGGGCGGGGCTCGGTTCGCCCGGCTCGGATTGCTGGGGCGCGTTTCGCCAGGGCTCGTTTCGCTGGGGCTCGTTTCGCCGGGTGTTGTCTCGCTGGGAATCGCTTCGCCGTTCGAGTGGAGGACCCAGAGGAGAAGGAGGAGCAGGAGGAGGAGGAGGAGGAGGAGGAGGAGGAGGAGGTGGAGGAGGAGGAGGAGGAGGAGGAAGGAGGAGGACGATGACGAGGAGGAGGAGGAGAGGAGGAGGAAGGAGGAGGAGGAGGAGGAGAGAGGAGGAGGAGGAGGAAGGAGGAGGAGGTGAGGAGGAGGAGGAGGAAGGAGAGGAGGAGGATGAAGGAGGAGGAGGAGAGGAGGACGAGAGAGGATGAGGAGGAGGAGGAGCAAGCGGCGGACCCTGACGGGCGGGTCGGGTCGGGCGGGCGGGACATGAACGTATGACGCATCACCGAGTAAGCACTCGCGAACCCTGACGGGCGGGACGGGCGGACCCTGACGGGCGGGTCTGCTCGGGCGGCCGGACCCGAACGGGCGGGTCGGGTTGGGCGGGCGGACCCCGACGGGCGGATCGGGGCGGGCGGGCGGGACATCAGAGGAGGGCGCATCATCGAATTGGCACGCCCGAGTCCTGACGGGCGGGCCGGGTCGGGCGGGCGGGCCCCAACGGGCGGGCCCGGTCGGGTCGGGCGGGCGGAGCCGGGCGAACGAGCTGAGCCTGGGCGATTCGAGCCGGGCGAATCGAGCCGGGCGAATCGGGTTCAGGGCGAAGCGGGCCAGGCGAACCGAGCCGGGCGACTCGAGATTCAGGCGAATCGAGCCCGGGCGAATCGGGCCAGGGCGAACCGAGCCGGGCGAACCGAGATTCGGGCGAATCGAGCCCACGCAGCGCCATCTTGGGGGTCATTTTGAGGCCTCTTCGAGGCCTGCTCGAGGCCAACTTGGGCTATCTTGCGCGATGGCTGGATGACACATCGTGCTATCTGGGGACATCTACGGTCATCTTGGTCGCTGCTACCCCTCGGGCCCCCCAGTCCAGACCCTAGGTGGGCTGTGCGCACCCCTTTCCGAAAGCATGGACGAATCGGGTATTTTGGAAGCGCTCGTATTCTTAATCGCCTGTTCCCAGACGGCTGGTGGAATGAGTGCTTCGGCGAAGGGGTAGTGGTGGTGGTTTGGCAGGGGTTGGGGAGCCCCTATGTTCGGCGGAGTTGAGTAAGATTGGCGGCGCTGGGAGCTTAGCCACCGCTTTCTGGCCATGTAGGTACCATGCCATGTGACAGTTTTCACGTAGCGCTTGTGCTGTGCTCTGTTTTCTTCATCCACCACCCGCCATCGCTGCAGCGCCGCAACATGCAAGCAAGAAGGGCGGCCCCAAGAAGCCCATACCGCATACTTCGTGGGCTGACTTTTGTTCGCATCCCTCCGCTCCCGGGAGACTCTCAGGGGTCAAACATTCGGGCTTTCGCGCATCTTCGACCATACCCGCCTGTCCCGTGAGCGAAGGGGATGCTCAAGAAGAGTGTCAACGCGATAGGTCGGCTGCGCTCCCTCTCTGTGTCGCTGCGTGTTCCTGCGCTTTTCGGGCTTCGCCCGCTCCGGCCGCCTGAGGCCCCGCCTTCCTGTGCCCTGTCTCCCTAATTAACGCTGTGCGTAGCCCGCCTAGCTTTTGGCCGAAGAGGTTCGCTCTCGCCCCGCCGATCAAAAGTGTTCCTGCGCTTGCCTGAGCAAGGCGAACCCCGCGCGCGAGCCGTTGCCGTGGGAGCTGGCGGGGCCGCGCGCCAGGCGCCGAGAACTCTGGAACCCCGGGCCTTTGTTTGGGGGGCCGGCTGGTCGGACTCGGCCTCGCAGCTGTTTGCTCGGCGCGCCAGGGAGAGGGGGGTCCACCGCGGATCCAGGAAGTCCGCGCGGGCCTCCAAGTTTCCCAAACCTCCTGCGTTGGGTTCTCGTTTTGAATAGAGCACTGCTCGCGCGAATCCCGCCCCTCTCTTCCCCCCTGCCTTTTACCTGGCTCGTCGCTGCGTTTCGAGGGCTGCTGGGGGCTGCGATCTGTGAAACTGTCGCCAATTTCGAGGGCTCCTGGGGGGCCCAGCACAGTGGGCACCCGCGGCGGATTCAAATGGGACCTCGCCATCCCTGGGGGGCTGCGATCTGTGAAACTGTCGCCACTTTCGAGGCCTGCTGGGGGGCCCAGCACAGTGTGCACCCGCGGCGGATTCAAATGGGACCTCGCCATCCCTGGGGGGCTGCGATCTGTGAAACTGTCGCCACTTTCGAGGCTGCTGGGGGGCCCAGCACAGTGAACCCGCGGCGGATTCAAATGGGACCTCGCCATCCCTGGGGGGCTGCGATCTGTGAAACTGTCGCCACTTTCGAGGCCTGCTGGGGGGCCCAGCACAGTGGGTACCCACCGCGGCTGGGGGCTGCGATCTGTGAAACTGTCGCCACTTTCGAGGGCTGCTGGGGGGCCCAGCACAGTGGGCACCCGCGGCGGATTCAAATGGGACCTCGCCATCCCTGGGGGGCTGCGATCTGTGAAACTGTCGCCACTTTCGAGGGCTGCTGGGGGGCCCAGCACAGTGTGCACCCGCGGCGGATTCAAATGGGACCTCGCCATCCCTGGGGGGCTGCGATCTGTGAAACTGTCGCCACTTTCGAGGCTGCTGGGGGGCCCAGCACAGTGTGCACCCGCGGCGGATTCAAATGGGACCTCGCCATCCCTGGGGGGCTGCGATCTGTGAAACTGTCGCCACTTTCGAGGCTGCTGGGGGGCCCAGCACAGTGGGTACCCACGGCGGATTCAAATGGGACCTCGCCATCCCTGGGGGGCTGCGATCTGTGAAACTGTCGCCACTTTCGAGGGCCGCTGGGGGGTAGCACAGTGTGAACCCGCGGCGGATTCAAATGGGACCTCGCCATCCTTGGGGGGCTGCGATCTGTGAAACTGTCGCCCCTTTCGAGGCCTGCTGAGGGGCACAGCACAGTGGGTATCCACCGCAGACTCAGATTAGACCTCGCCATCCTTGGGGGGCTGCGACCTGTGAAACTGTCGCCACTTTCGAGGGCTGCTGGGGGGCCCAGCACAGTGGGTACCCACGGCGGATTCAAATGGGACCTCGCCATGACTGGGGGGCTGCGATCTGTGAAACTGTCGCCACTTTCGAGGCCTGCTGGGGGGCCCAGCGCAGTGGGCTTCCCGCACGTCTTTCTCCTGCTCTTCGTTCCCGACTCCCCATGTCCTCTTCGAGCCTGTAGTTGTTGCCCATCGTTCTTGTATGGTTCTCCTGCGCATCATTCCATTGGCGCGTGTCCCAAGTAGCTTACATATCAAACAACGGATCCTGCAATTTGATTGTCCGTGCAAGTTTCGGCCAACTCCTCGTTTCCCATGATACAAATGGGTTGGGTACGTCACAGGGTAATGTTATGTTTGTGTTGTTCTTCGTTCCCCTAGAGATTTGCGGACGACGATCAATGGAGAGGAAACATGTTGCCGAATATGCCTTAACATGGTTGAACAATGGTTGAACAATGCCTTAACATGTAACAGACATGCTTTAAGCATCGTTCGAAGTTTCTCCGACATTTTACAACATATTTCTAGTTCAACGATCGGCTTGTTAGGGTGTCCACTGTCATGACATCCACAACTAGAGATAGTCGGATGCGAGCCGCGGGGAGTCACAGCCTTGCTCTGTGTTCGGGATTTGCTTCTGGTGGCGGCGGGGCGTTGACAGACGAAGAGCTCCCTGCGGTTTTGGTGGGCTGGGGCCTCGCGTCTCGCGTATATCTGCGTCGGTTGGGGCCTTCTCTTGAGGACCGCGGGCGGATCGCACCCAAGGGGAGGGATGGAGGTTCCGCCGCACCCCCCCCCACCCTGCCTCTTCTCTCGGCCCCCCCCACCCCGTCGGGGGGCCGTAGGTGGTGGATGCCCGTGAGGCCCCCTGCGCCGCCCCGAGGGGGGGGGCAGTCGCCCAGCAGGGGAAGCAGGAGCAGCAGGGAGGGGTCACTGGCCAACCTGCCAGGTCTGCGAGCGGGCCGCCTTGGAACAGTCCCCGTGTCGAGGAGGGGGACACCAGTCGCCTGGGGAAACTCCAACTCTCAGCCTGTTGCTGTTGGCTGCTGACGAGGGCGCACCCTAACTAGGAACCCACAGTAGGACTGTGCAAGACTGGCGCCCTGCACCAAACAACGGACCACAGGCGGCTAGTTGGGTATGCATTGTGTAGCCTTAGCCCACAGCTGGCAGAATACCAGTGACGACGCAGATGATGTGTCATCTGGTGGCAGTGCAGAGGCCGAGCAGACTGACCAGCGGAGCGAAGGTGGACCGTGACAGCCGTTGCCACCACCCCACCACGCTGGACCCCATAAGCGGTTCACACACTGCGCATGTCGCGGACCGCGGGCGCCCCAGCGCCCGCCGACGTGACGCCCGTGGCGTCGCCGTGGCGTGGCGTGTGCCCGGTGCGCGCGCGCAGGAGCACGTGCTCCTGTGCCAGGGGCTCGTGGCCCCGCAGGCCGCGCACTGGCCTCTCTTGCGGCTCGGGGGCGCGCCCGGCGGGGAAGGCAGAGGGGGGCGCAGGCCTCCTCGGGAGGCTCGGGAGGCCTCGGGCCTTCCGAGGAGCTCTCCGGCGTTCGCCGTCGGGGGGGAACGGGTCCGGAGGAGTTTCGCATCGTTCGGGCCCTCGGCGCCCTCCGCGGGCCCTGGTGAGCCGTCAGAGAACGGCTCAGGAGGAGGGCCTCGGGCCCAGGGCCCGTTTCTCTGGGGAAGCGTCTCCCCCATGCTGAATCGTGCATGGCTCCCAGGAGGAGGAGGAGGAGGAGGAGGAGGAGGAGGAGGAGGAGGAGGAGGAGGAGGAGGAGGAGGAGGAGGAGGAGGAGGAGGAGGAGGAGCATCCATTGCCCCTCTCACCTTCGATGCACTTCGGCCTCTTCTCTGGCCATTGCGGCGAGAAGCTCTTCCATCACCGAGAGCATTCCACCATCGCAAAGAGCCGACCGCAAGCGTCTGGAAAACACGTGACTGAGTCGGTGTACTCGGCCGCAAAGTCCCTCTGCGGCGGATCCGGGCCATTTGCGAGTAGTTACTTTGCGAGCAGTGGAACGCGCTTGTTTATTCCAGGAGGCCCAGACAGGGCCCGAGAGGCGCTGGGGAGGGCCGCCGTTGTCTCGACTCGGTCCTCCCCCGAACGAGCCCACCGTACATGGGAGGGCACCAGCCCAGACCCAAGCCCACACCTATCCTCCTCCTCCTCCTCCTCCTCCTCCTCCTCCTCCTCTCCTCTTCCCCCTCCTCCTCCTCCTCCTCCTCCACCTCCTCCTTGTCCTCCCTCTCCTCCCTCCTCCCCCTCCTCCTCCTCCTCCTCCTCCTCCTCCTCCTCCTCCTCTCCTCTTCCCCCTCCTCCCTCCTCCTCCACCTCCTCCTCCTCTTCCTCCTCCTCCTCCTCCTCCTCCTCCTCCTCCTCCTCCTCCTCCCCTTCCTCTCCGTCGTCCTCGTCCTCGTCCTCGTCGCCTACACCCACACCCACACTCTTACCTACACCGATCCTGGACGGGCCGGGCCGATGCTAGGCCCAGGGTCGGGCGTATATACAACAGTGAAAGCAGCTTCTTCGCCCGCGTCCATGTTCAATACATGTTTTTTTGTTCTCTCTCTCTCTCTCTCTGCATATATCTATATGTATATGTATCAACAGCTTCCTCGCCCGCGTGCACCTCAGCACGGGCTGCCGCCCGCCCCGTGCCGCCGCTGCGGGGCCGTGTCTTGTGCCTGGCGTTATGTTTCTTCTCATGTTTCTTGTTTGTCTTTGTCTTTGTCTTCTTCTTCTTCTTCTTCGTTAGATGTCCGTTTTGGGGACCTGCCTTGGGGCCACCTGACGGAGCTGGTTGGCTCGAGCTTAGTTCGAACACAGTCCGACTCTGCTTCGACCCTAGCTCGACTCAGGTGCGACTCAAGGTCGACTCAAGTCGTCGGACACTGGACGCGGCATCGGCGCATCAGTGGAGCGATGGGCTCACGAAAGGTCCCCAGAACGAGCATCTACTCTTCGTGTGTACCCTTTTGACCAGACCCCGCTCCGAGCTGTTGTTCCCCGCCTGGGGAGTCGGTGTCCCAGCGCCACGGGATGGGGTGGACTGTGGGTGTCTTTGGGCCTCCCCCCGACCCCGAGAGCGTCCGTACCCACCGGCTCCCGGGGTCCCAGGGCGGCGGCTCCGTAGGCGGTGGTGCAGGAAGTCTTGGCCTCGGACCGGTGGGCCGATTCCACTACTTTGCCTTCCCGCCCAAAGAACCAAAGAATCACACAATCACACCCTTCCCCCTGCACCGCCAGCGCCCTCTTTGGAGGGGGTGTTTCCCTCTTCCGCTTTCCATGCCTCGTGCTCTGTTTCTGCTTCTTGTCTCCTTGCCCATACTCTTCGTCTTCTGGCCTGTACCACTCGTAATCATCCTCGTCTGTCTATCCTCCTCGTTTTCCTCGCTATGCTGTCCATCTTCCGGCCCACGGCTCATCCCCTTGACCTTCTCCGTTCCTCGCCGCCTTGTTGTCCGTCTCCTTCGTTTTCCTTGGTCTAGTTTTTCCAGGTTGTCTGTTGTTTTTCTCTCGTTCTTCCTCTTATCCTGCTTCTTCTTCCCATTCTTCTTATTTCTTCTTCTTCTTATACTTATTTCTTACTCCTCTCGGCGACCAGCCCAGGGGGGGGGAAACTAGAGGGGCGGGCCTGCTCTGAGCCGCCCCCGAAGGCACAGACGGCTTCTCGGAAGGCCGGAGGGCTCCTGAGAAGCCCCGCTGCTCTCTCAGAAGGCCTCCTTCTCCCCCCCCCCCCCAGCCTCGCCCGCCGCGCATCCTCTGTCTCTTCCTGCTCCTCCTGTTCTTCTTCTTCTTCTTCGTCTTCTTCTTCCTCTCTTTCTTCTTCTTCTTCTTCTCGCTCCTCTTCCTCCTCTTCCTCCTCTTCCTGCTCCTCCTCTTCCTGCTCCTCCTCTTCTTCTTCTTCTTCTTCCTCTTCTGGTCCTTCTTCAACCGCAGTCACCGGGTGAGGCCTGTTGTCCGCTGGGAACCGTTCGATGGGCCCATCGGGGCACCTTTTGGGGCCCTGGGGGCAGCTGTTTTCTTCCTCCTCCTCTTCACCATCATCATCATCACCATCATCATCATCATCATCATCATCATCATCATCATCATCATCATCATCATCATCATCTTCTTCTTTCTCATATTTCATGCAGTCGGCCCAGATTAGCAGGTCGACCCTGCCAGCTCAAGGGTACCCTTGTGTCCTGCGCCTCGCGACCCATGCTTCCTACACTCCTGTGGCAGTGTGGCCCTCGGAAGGGTCTTGTGTCCTCTCGCGTGTCCTGCCCAATCGACTCTGGCTGCATTTTTATTGCTCTTCTTACCCTTCTTCTTCCTCTTCTTCTTCTTCTTTTTCTTGGTTTTCTTGATCTTCTTCTTCTTCTTCTTCTCGCTCTTCGCCCCGCAGGGCGCCGGCGGCACGGCCGAGGCCAAGGCCGCGCCAGTGGCGGAGGTGCTGGAGCGGGAGGCCAAGGCCCTGGGGCTGGAGAGGACCGCCGCCGGCGCCGACGTCGACGTCGTCGACGACGACGACGGAGGACGACGTCGACGACGACGACGACGACGACGGCGGCGGCGACGACGACGACGACGACGACGACGACGACGACGACGACGACGACGACGACGACTACGACCACGACCACGACGACGGCGGCGGCGGCGGCAATGAGACGACGCGATGACGACCCGCTCGGCGCTCCCTCCGCGCGCCCGGCCCGCGCCGCGCGCCCTCGGGCGCTCTCGTGGAGGAGAGGACGAGGTGCTCTGGGCCTCCCGGGAGGCCCTCGTCGCCGCGGCTGGATTCGCTATGGGCTCCTCCTGGTCAGGACGCACCCCTGGAGAGGTCTGGGGAGCAGCGGTGCCGGCACGTTCTGTGCCGCCCCGCGGGCCTCTCCGCTCGGCGCCCCCTCTGCTCGCCCGACCCGCTCTCCTCTCCTGCAGAGCCCCGAGCCATCAGGGGTAGCTCGGGTCAGGGCCAGCTCGGGTTCGTTTTTCGGGACTCCGAGACCGGGTCACCCCAGGCCCGGGGTACCCCGGATAATTCGGGCGTCCAGAGCCACGAACCATCAGGGGTATAACTCGGGTCAGGGCTAGCTCGGGTTCGTTTTTCGGGACTCCGAACCCGGGTCACCCCGGGCCCAGGTTACCCCGGATAGTTCGGGCGCCCAATCTCTCTCGAAGAACGACTGCACGAGCATGCATTTCCGCAGGTCCGCGCGGATGCCTAGGATCCGCGCCTGGCCTCCAGGGGTTCGGCGCAGATGCAGGAAATCCGCGCGGACTTCCAGAGCGTATGTTTAGGATGTTTTTCCATCCTCTGCTTTCGCCCTCGGGCGCTCTCGACCGTTCCCGCCCGTTCTCTTGGGAGGTTTCTCACGCGCTGGCGGCTTAGCTTCAGAGGAGCCAGCAGTCATGACAAGGTTATGTGGTACATTTTCAAGGATTTCCGCTATTTCCTGTTTCTCCGCGCGGGCTCCAGGACGGAGCGTCGCTGGATGCTCCCGGAATTCCTGGCACGTATCCGCCTTCGATTGCATTATGGCACCGTCTACGTCCTAGAATGTTGGCCACCTCTAGAGCCCAGCTTTGTGATGCGTGCGAATTTTGAGGCGCCGCCAGGCTTCGTGGAGCAAGCAATGAAATAAGCATAACTGCTCGGAGGTCCGCGCGGATGTCTCGGATCGGCGCTGGACCCCCATCCCTGGCGCGCGGAGCGCGCCAGGGGCGGCGCTGGAGGCGCCGCCAGCGGGGTTCCAGCGCCGATCCGAGACCCGCGCGGATCTCAGAGCTTTAATGTTTATGTCGTTGCTCGTTTCCCTGAGGCTCTCCCTCTGGGCCGCGTGGCCTCCTTGGCTACCCCCCTCACAGAACGTTTGCGGCTGGTGGGCGCAGCGGAGTTGGCCCCCTCCTCGTGCTCCTCTTGCCGGTCGTCGGTCGCCTGTGAGGGGCTGTCCGTCGTCGTCTGTCCGTGGTTGTCGGGTGGCGGAGCGCAAAGCGGTGTGCAGTTGCTCGTGGCGCCGCGTAAAAACACACAGACACAAATGATCGTCGATCCCCAGGAAATCGTGGGAACATGTGGGAAGTGAGGGGGAAGACGAACGCCGAGACAATCTGGAAACATGAGTCCTGGGTTTTTTTGCCTATCTGTTTGTGTGTCCCTGGGCCCGTTTGGTCCTGCGCGCATTGGTTTCTGCTCCCGCCCTGCCCTCCCGGATCCCCGCAGCGGTGGCGCGCCGCTGGCAGGGCTTCCCTGCCTGGCATCGCTCGGACGTGTGCATTTTTTCTCGGCGAGGGCCATCGAGGAGCATCCTTGACCATTTGGCGAAAAAACCACGCACGAAACCGGAAAAAGCACAGGGAATGGACGTCCGAGCGATGTCAAGCTTGGGACACCACGGACGGCGGTGCCGACCAGCCGCGCGGGGGTCGTGCCTGCCGCGATTCTCCGCGCGGGGGCGCGCGCGCAGTCCGAGGCCGCGACGCGTCGGTTTTAGCACAGCCTTGTGCCAGCCCAAACTTTACCGATTCCTTGTTTTGTTTCTTTTCGCGGAGGACGAATTACCTCCCTCCTCCCCCTCCTGCCTCCTCCTCCTCCTTCCCCTCCTCCTTCTCCTCCTCCGCCTCCTCGCCTCCTCCTCCTCCTCCTCCTCCTCCTCCTCCTCCTCCTCCTCCCAAACCCAAACTTTACCGATTCTTTGTTTTGTTTTTTCTCGCGGAGGACGAAATACCTCCCTCCTCCCCCTCCTCCTCCCCCCTCCTCCTTCCTCGCCTCCTCCCTCCTCCCTCCTCCTCGCCTCCTCCTCCTCCTCCTCCTCCTCCTCCTCCTCCTCCTCCTCCTCCTCCACCCAGACCCGGATGTGATCGTTGTCTGATTCTTTGTTTTGCCGACCGGCGCGGGCCCTCGCGGCCCCTCCTCCCCCCCCCCGATGGGGCAGATCCTGGCTGCTGTGGGCGCCCGCCTCGAGCAGGTGGAGCCTCCCGTCACAAGACGCACCGTCGCAAACCGCCGCAGGAAGCGGAGGTCCAGAGCCAGGCCCCCCCCCCCTCCCCCCCTCCCTCTTCGCTCGGTGTCGACACGCCGAACCAGAAGACGCTCCCAGCCCCGGCTGGCCGCGCACGGCCCTGGGCTGAACCCAGAGCCCGGGATGCGCCCCGCCGAGAGCGTGCGGGGGGTGCCCAGATCCTTCCTCGAGGCCGCTGGAGGCCCGAGTTGTCGCCGGACAGCTGCACGTCCGTTCGACCACGCGTAACCCGGAGCATCCAGTCGTCGCATGCTTTTCGCACCCGGCGTGTTTGCTTGGTTCTTGGGCGTGGCTTAATGGGGGGGGTCACAAATGGGGGGGTCAGAAAAGGTCCCCTTTCGTGCCCCTTTCGGGCCCCTCCAGAGCCCCAGGGGGCTCGTTTAGGTACCGTTTGGGTACCTTTTCGGACCACCCTCGCCGCCCCCCCATTTACGATCCCCCCGTTACGCGACGCCCAAGGTTCAGGGTTCCAGGACCCTCGCAGATCGATCGGGCTCCAGGAAAGCTGCGGGAAGACCTGGTCTGGGGTTCGTGTTTTCACGATCCTGAATTGTCACGCCGGCAGATCTCAGGGAAGAGTAACCTTTCGGCGCGTGATCTTGAGTCCAGGCCCACTGAAGTTCCCCGATCGCCGAATGCGCTGCGACGGCAGCGGCTCGTGCGCTTGTGTGGCCCCCCCCCCCGCGCCCCGTTGGAGCTGCGGGCCAGGCCACTCTTGCCCAAGGGTTGGGGATGGACAGCACCCCCACTCTGACACGTAGATTCGTGAATTGTCCGTTCTCGGGTCTCGAGAGGGCGCCGCGGCCGCCATTTCCCAGGCCTGCGCCCGCCGGGCTTGGGCCCGAGGTCGTCTTCAGTAGGCCACGTCTCACTGAAGGCGGCTCTGTCCACCCCCGAGAGGGCCGCTCCTGCGTGCCGCCGATCGGCATGATCGAGGCGGTGGCGGACAGCGTTGGGATGCTGACCGGCAGCAGCTCCCGCCCACCTCGAGCGGGGCAGTGCCCGCTCGGACCCTGGCCTCTCGGCGCCTGCGCGGGGGGCGCGGTGCGCCGGCGCACGGGCGTGGCGGCTCGATGGGCACCGGCTCCACCGGGGCCGCTGTGGGGGCTCCCCCTTGGGGCACGCTTTCGGACCTGATCAGGGGGCCACATGCGAACCCTACCCCTACCCCCCACGATTTCTGAGGGGGAGGGTGGGGTTCACTCCGTTCGGGAGCTCCCGAGCGAGGTGAACCCCACCCTCCCCCTCAGAAATCGTGGGGGGTAGGGGTAGGGTTCGCATGTGACCCCCTACTGATGGGTCCGGGCAGGCGGGGTCCGAGGAACGCGCCGCATCGCCGATGCATCGGCGACGCAGCTCGATGCGGGGCTTGATTTTCTCCGCGCCGACGGTGCCGATGCATCGCCGACGCGATGCGGCGACGCATCGCCTATGCGTGGGCGATGCGGCGCGATCCTCCGACCCCATCTGCTCGGACCCCATTTGGGAGGCCTCTAGTGAAACATGTGACAAGCGACGCCATGCGCGCAGACCCACTCGGTGCTGTGGTCTGGGCTGTCTGCGGGGAGCGGTCCTTGCGACGGGTGTGTGCCGAAGTGGGCGCGGCGGCGACGTTGGGCGTCCCCCCCCCCAATGGTATACCCGAGGGGGAACGACTGTATAAACATAGACGTTAGGAGCTCCGCGCAGATGTCTTGGATCGGCGCTGAGGCCCCCCTGGCGGCGCTTCCGGCGCCGCCCCGTGCGCGCTCAGCGCGCCCGGGGGTGGTGGTGTCAGCGCGGGTGAAAGAACTCTTGGCGAACTTCCGAAAGTTTACGTTTATGCAGTTTTTTCCTCTTCTGGGTACCCTGCAATCGGTGCCCTATGGTGCCCTGTGCTTGTCGGTTGGCCCAGAGACTGCCAATAACGTCTAAGACGTCGATGCTCCCCCTCTCCGCCTGTCGTCACGGCGCATTGCATGAAGGCTGAATCCCCGCCATTCGTTGGGCCGATTGTTTTTGTTTGTTTTTGGTTGGTTGTGTGTGTGTGTGTGTGTGTGTGTGTGTGTCTGTGTGTGTGTGCATCTTTGATTGGCCGCACGTTTCCTCGTTTTGTGCGTAGAGTTTGTGGTGGTGGCGCGCTCTTCGTCATAGCACTGCACCGTGACGACCTCTGCCCCCCCAGGATTGTTATCACCGACTTCAAGCTCGCCGTGCTGTGAGCGATGAGAGCCGCTCCCGCTCCTTACCTCTCGCCCGCCGCCACCCTGCCGCACAGAGCGCCGCCGCCCCAGGCGTCGTCGTCGTAGTCGTCGTCGTCGTCGTCGGTCGTCGTCGTCGTCGTCGTTGTCGTCGTCGCCGCTGTTGTCGCCGTCGTCGTCGCCGTCGTTGTCGCCGTCATTGTTATCGACGTCGTCGTCGTCGCCGTCGTGGTCGTCGTCGTCGTCGTCGTCGCCGTCGTCGCCGTCGTCGCCGTCGTCGTCGTCGTCGTCGCCGTCGTCGTCGTCGTCGTCGCCGTCGTCGTCGTCGCCGTCGTCGTCGTCGCCGTCGTCGTCGTCGCTTTGCCGTGGAGGAAATGGATCCCGAGGGAGTCGGATCCTGGAGGGTCCTCGCCGCTCTCGGGCTGCCGGGGCCCTCCCAGGCTTCTCTCTCTCGATGGGGTCGGTGCGACCCGACGTCGATGCTGGCCCGCTCGATGGGAGGTCTTCAGTGTTTTGAGGATCCTCCTCCCCCTGTGTCTTTCGGCGGTTAATCCGCTCCTGCCCCTCCTCCTCCTCCTCCTCCTCCTCCTCCTCCTCCTCCTCCTCCTCCTCTTCCTGCCACTCCACAGTCGTAGTCGTTGTCGTCATCGTCGGGTGCCGCGGGAAGTTGGGTTCCACTACTGGGGGGACCCCAGTCCGTCAATGTGGAGGTCGACAGGATCACTGGTTTCCACTAATGGGGGGAGGGTCCAGAGACCTATCTCGATTATTGCGCCGATCCGATGCGGCCCGATGATTGGACTGCGCCGTTGTGCATCCTGGCGCGGCTGGATTTCGACTGAGTGACCACGAACACACGACGGCTCAGGGTGAGCATTTGGTCCATGGGGAAAGGCCCTGTGGAAGGGAGAAGCGGCCGGCATGAAGCGCGGCCTTTGGGAAAGGCCCCCGCGTCTAGGACCCGTCTCCCTCAGGACCACTTTCCAACAATGCTGATGATCGTCGTCGCCGTCGTCGTCGTCGTCGTCGTCGTCGTCGTCGTCGTCGTCGTCGTCGTCGTCGTCGTCGTCGTTGTTGTCCCTTCACCACCTCTGTCGTCGCAGAGAGGGCACTTGGCCCTCGCGCGGTGCCTGGCAGTTTTCCCCGTGGGAGCCCGCGCCTCCGCCTCTCTCCTCTTCTCTGCCGTACAGCGGCGCCGCGCGCCGGGAGAGAGGCTGGCCAGGCTTCAAAACCCTCGTGCCTCGATCCTCGATCTTCCAGGCTTCAGGAGCCTCGAGCCTCGATCCTCGATCATCCTGGAGCCTCGAGCCTCAAGCTTCGAGGAGCCTCGATCCTTGAGCATCCTCGAGCATCCTCGAATGTCCTCGAGTATCCTCGAGTATTGTCTAGCACCGAGCCTCCTCGATCTGTGGGTGTGGGCCTCCCCCCAGACCTCCAGCGCATCGGGACAAGTACGAGCGGCTCGCTTGTCGCCAGTGTTGGTCTCGGGAGGCTGGTTTTGGGCCTCGAGACTGTTGTTGTAATATGAAACATCCGCCTTCGGGAAGTGGTGAAGAAGTCCAAGAGCCCACGCATTGAACAAACCGATGTGCCGGATGTCTGGGCCTCCCATAGCAGACGACAAGGGGGAGACAACGTGAAGAGAGGTGACATTTCCAGTACCCCTTGGCGCGGGGTGGCAGTTTTGGGGCCACTTCGGCCTCTGTCGAACCACTCCCGCGTGCGCTCCGATTGCCTTTTCTTGTCGCCCCCCCACACTCGAAGAACAAAATGGCATAAACATTTCTTGGATCGGCGCTGGGGCCCCCGTGGCGGCGCCTCCGGCGCCGACGATGGCGCGCTCCGCGCGCCAGGGGGGGGTCCAGTGCCGATCCAAGGAATCCGCGCGGACTTCCGAAAGAGTGTGTGTATGCCGTTTCCCTTCTTCTGCCTTGCCCCCCCCCTGAACGTCGGCTCTGCCTTCCCTGGCCCCCCTGTCAGGACCCCGTCTCACTCTGCGCCAAGATCCGCCTGTCCATCCACCCGCTCGTTCGCCCGTCCGTTGGATTGTCACTCCTTCCTGGCCACCCGTCCCTGAGTGCAGGGGAGGGTCAGTGGAGACATCATCGGCTCTCCTCTTCCTTCCCTCCTCTCAGGGGCAACGTCAGGGGGGTATCGGCAATTGGCTCAGGGGGATGCGTCGACCCTCAATCGCACATTTATCGTCGATAGGGTCCCGATGCCCCACCCAGCCTGGCAGCGAGCTTTTTCACGATCGGAGGCCTATCGCCGATCTATTGGCGATGTGTCTCCGATTCCAGGTTGACGTTCCCCCCTTGAGCCAGTCCCCCCCTATCGTTCGAGGGACAATCGATGACACGAACGTAAACTTTCGGAGGTCCGCTCGGATTTCTCGGATCAGCGCTGGACCCCCTACCCTGCCGTGCGGAGCGCGGCAGGAGGCGGCGCCAGAGGTGCCGCCGAGTGCCCCCAGCGACGTGTGTTAGCTTTGTGGAAGTCGATTAATGGAGAGGAAGCATGCTGCCCCAAAAAACAAGATGTCTAAACCATGTTTCAAACATGTTTTAAACATGTACAAACATGTTTGACACATTTTTAGAACATGTTGTGCACAGTTTAAACGCATTTTTCATTCAATGACAGGATTGTTGGAGTGTCCATTGTCATGACATCCACAATGTTAGCCCAGTGTGTGATTTCCCCCCCTTCATGCTCCGCCGATATCACGCAGCCTGCGTCGACCCTCGCTGCGCTGCCTGCGTCGTATTGAAGGGCTCGGTGCACAAGCACACGTTGGTGCTGATACAGTCGGCCCTGACTGGTAGGTCGACCCTGCCAAATCAAGGGTACCTTTGTGTCCTGTGTCTCGCGACCAATGCCTCCTGCGTTCCTGGGGCAACGTGGCCCTCGGAAGGGTCTTGTGTCCTCTCGCGCGCCCTCTCGAATCGAGTCCGACTGTAGCCCAGTGTGTGATATCCCCCCTTCATGCTCCGCCGATATCACGCAGCCTGCGTCGGCCCTCGTTACGCTGCCTGCGTCGTGCTGAAGGGCTTGGTGGACAAGCACACGCTGGTGCTGATGCACGTTCCGAGGATCATCGAGGTGCGCTCTTTGCTCTCTTCGGGCCGAACGAAAGGGGGGGATTGGGAAAGGGGGGGTTACGAAAGCTGCTGCATGCAGCTTGTTTCGGCCCCACCGAGGGGCCCATTCCTCGATACATAGCCGCCTCCGGCGCCCGGAGGCGCCGGGAAAATCAGCCTCGCGAGCGGATTCTCAACCCCCCCCTTTGCTATCCCCCCCTTTCGCCCTGCCCGATCCGCGATGATCCTCAGGACGCGTGTTCACTGGCGGCGCCCACGAGGGGGTGCCTCGAGGGGGGCGGTCTTCGAAGAGGGCAAGGGGGGGGGCGTCCAGGCCTCTTGGAAGCCCTCCTGGCTGCCATGAAGCCCTCCCGGGAGCTGCTGTACCACCCCCGCCTTCTCAGAAGCCCACCCCCCTCGCGCCTCCCCCTGGTGGGCGCGCCGCCAAATTAGCCCCGGGTGTGCGTACGTGTGCGTGCGTGTGTGTGTGTGTGTGTGTGTGTGTATGTGTGTGTGTGCGTGTGGGTGAGAGTGTTTAGTTGTTGTTGTTGTTTTTGCTGCTGTTGTTGTTGTGGTTGTGGTTGTGGTTGTGTTTTTTTTTGGTTGTTGTCAACAATTATTATTGTTGGAACCCCCCTTGCGCTTTGGCGCTTTCGCCCTGGCGCTGGCTACATTTTCATTGAAATTGAGACTCGCGCTCGAGCGGTTTCGGGGGGCGCTCAAACCAGCCCCCAAACAACAACGCTCCCGCTCGAGAGTTCTTCCTTTTTTACTCAGGGCCGGTGCTCTTGCTCGCCGCCGAAAGCCGCTGTCTCAACAAAACCAGCGCTCCCGCTCGAGACTTCCTCTCGTTATACTTTGGACTGGCGCGCTACTCTTTCTCTCATCGGCGCCACCCCCAGCAACAACAACGCTCCCACTCCAACCGCCGTACCAACAAAACCAACGCTCCCGCCCGAGACTTCCTCCCGTTTTAACGTCAAACTGGCGTCCTTCTCTCTTTTGAATTGGTGCCGCTCCCAGCAAGAACAACGCTCCCGCTCGAGGCTTCCTCCCTTTTTCCTCAGGACGGTGCTGTTCCTCGCCGCGACAGCCCCCGTCCCGACCAAATCACGGCTCCCGCTCGAGGCTTCCTCCCTTCTTACTTAAGGCGGTGTTCCTCCTCGCCGCCGACAACCGCCGTCCCAACAAAACCAGCGCTCCCGCTCGAGACTTCGTTTTGTTTTATGCTGGACTAGCGCCCTACTCTCTTCAGCATTTGCGCAGCTCCCAGCAAGAACAGCGGCCTGCTCGAGACTTCCTCCCTTTCTATTCAGGGCCAGGTCCTTGCCTCGCCGCCGACAGCCCCCATCCCCAACAAGGCAATCCTGTCGCTCGATACTTCCTTGTGCTTTACCCTTGGCTGGGGCACCACTGGCGGTCTCGCATCGGCGCAGCAAGGCGCGGGCATGTGTTTTCGAGGCGGGATATGTTGAAATTCCTCGGAGGAGGTGTTTGCAAGACCTCATTGGGCGGGAGATCTGGCAATGGGAATACCAGACCCCGCTATAGAACAATAATCCCCCATGATGGGGATGGTTATCATGATGGTCGCATGCTTCGTGTGGAGACATCGCGCATGAGGGTAAACTGATTGTTGGTGTCGTGCTTGTTGTTGTTGTCGTCGTTGTTGTTGTTGTTGTTGTTTTTGTTGTTGTTGTTGTTGTTGTTGTTGTTGTTGTTGTTGTTGTTGTTGTTGTTGTTGTTGTTGTTGTTGTTGTAGTTGTTGTTGTTGTTGTTGTTGTTGTTGTTGGTGTTGTTGTTGCTGCTGCTGCTGCTGTTGCTGTTGTTGTTGTTGTTGTTGTTGTTGTTGTTGTTGTTGTTGTTGAATTTTCATTTTTTAAGAATAATTATTGTTGATCCCCCCCACACCGGTGCATACTGTTTTTTCTCAATCGAAGTGTGCCCCTCGACGCTCGCACCCTGTTTTTTGAGAGGGAAAGTCTTTCTGCTCAAAATGGCCCCCTGGCCCC